GAGAGAGTTATTTGTAAAGCAGATAATAATGGCACCTACCACAGAAGGCTGCTGGAGGGATTAAAGCAGAATCATCCCTTTGTAAAGTACTTGACACCAATGCCTGGAACAGACTGAGTGCTCAGCCAAGTTAAGCGAGGATAGAATTATCTCTTACAATTATGTTCACCCCCGCCTATCTGCCCTAAGCAGCAAACTGCAGCAGGGAAACAGAACCTGTCATGGAAATGACATCAGGTTTTGGGACACTTGCCAAGTCCCACCCAGCTCTGTGCCTTCCTCACTAGGTGGTGACCACCATGATCTGCATCGTCCCATAACACCTGCCAAGTCTTGGGAGGGACAAGGGCGTGGAGGAGCTAGGATGTGTCCCTCAAAGGCAGGGCCCTGATTGAGGCTCCTGAGGCCATGTTCACTCTGGGCAAAGACTTCCAGTGTGCCCTCCAGAGTGGTATCTGCAGAAATGCTCCCAGGAGGCTCCTGAGGTGTGTAGCGAGAGGATGGGCATCGGCTTCCATCGGTTTTACCCATCAGGGCTCCGCGTAAGGTTTTAGTATTTTATTGTTTTTAACTTGGTACCAACAACAGAGTGTACCAATCTTAAAATTTTTTTTAAGTTTGAGAGAGACAGAGACAGCACGAGTCGGGGAGGGGCAGAGAAAGGGGGAGACAGAGAATCCCAAGCAGGCTGTCAGGGGGGAGCCTGATGTGGGGCTCAAGTTCATGAAACCGTGAGATCATGGCCTGAGCTGAAACCAACAGCTGGATGCTTAACCGACTGAGTCACCCAGGTGCCCCTAGAGTATACCAATCCTAAGGTACAGCTAAAGGTGTATACACTCGTCACTACCCCCAGATCGAGGCACAGATGGTCACTCAAGCTCCCTCCCAGACAATACCCCTATTTCAGAAATTTGCATGAACAGAATCATACAAAGTGTACCATTACTTGTATGCCTGGCTTCTTTTAACCCCCTGTGATATCTGTGAGATATATCCATGTGGCGTGTTTTTGCACGCTGTGTAATATTGTATTGTGTGAATATGCAATGTATTACCTCCCGTCTGTCATCAAGAGATATGTGTGTTGTTTCCAGTTTGGGCCAGTTAGGAATAAATTTGCTACAACGTTCTTATATGTAACTTCGGGGCACACAACATCCATTTCTGTTTTGGTATATACTTGGGAGTGGAGTGAGGACTAGCAGATGCAGCCAGTCTTCCAAAGTGGTTGTGCCAATATGTGCCGCCGCCAGGAGAATACGAGGGGTCTGATTATGCCAATTCCTCGCCTATGCGTGCTATCATCTGCTCTTTCTGTTGTAGCCATCGTGGCAAGGGCATAGTGGCGTCCCATTGTAATTTTCATGTCCTTTTCCCTGATGACTAAAGATGTCAAGCACAGTTTCGTATGATGACCTAATATTTGGGGTTTTGAAAGGACTCGGGGAAAAAAAGCTTGACGACGCATTGCCATGCCTCCCCCGGAGGAGGGGTTCCTGTCCCTCCGGCTACGCTGTGGCCCTTCTCAGACCCCTGTTCCAGGGGTGCAGGGGGCGCCGGGGAGGCAGGATAGGCTGGGGAGAGCCAGAGGTGGAGGGAGGATGCCCCGGGAGGAGTCCCCGAGTAACGGGAAGGACGGACCAGTGATCAGGGAAATCAGGGAACGCCAATCCTGACACAAAACAGGGCAATGCCCTGTGGCCACGATGAGGTGTTGAGGTGCCATGATGGCCACGCTGGGTGGGGCTAGCTGGGAAACCTTCCTCCGCTGCCCGGAAGGACTCCTGAGCAATGCAGGCTTCACAAGAAGGGCAGGGGACAGTGAGCCACAGCCAGATGCGGTTTTCACTGATGGTTATAATGGGTTGGAGGGGAAGGGCGGGTGGTCAGAGCCGGAGGGCAGGCAAGAGGCAGGCGGGCGCTGGGAGGAGCCCTGGACTGGGAATGGGGCTCTCCTTCTGTCATGGCTTCTCAGGCAAGGCTCTTCACCTGAGCCCACACCTGTCTGCGTGGAGAACAAAGAGCCTGGAAGACGGGAGCTTGCCAGCCTCTCTCCCGGGTGGAGAGGACACCAAGTAGGGCTTCGGCAGCAGGTCCCCCAGAGCTCCGCGGCAGCCCTGACAGTGATGAGTCCCCACACCCCATCCATCACCTCTCTCTACTACAAGTGATCCTGAAACCAGGTGGCCAGGGCGATAGAGGCCAGGGCAGCTTCCAGAAGAGTCCAGCCTGCTGCAGCAGTGGGAGCGCGTGGGAGGGTGGCCAGCAGCCCGTCCCGGCTCTTCTCACCCCACTTGCTGCTAAGCTGCCTGCTCAGCCCTCCTCTGCACAGAAGTGAAGAAGCTGCCTTGCTAACAGAGCAGAGACCCCGGCCCCTACCTGAGCGGAGCAGAGAGGGGGTCCCCAGCAGGGAAGATCACAATGAGAATGGGTGAGAACGTCTTTTCTGACAACCCACTTAGGGAGTGCCAGGGTTGGGGGGAAGGCCAGAACCCCCAGAAAGACTGTGACCGCTAGCTCGCACAGGGTTTTCCTCTAGAGAAGGAAAAGTTGAGGGGGGAGGGGGTTTGATCAATGAAAAGTGCTGATCCCTTATGAACAGCTCTTTCAGGAGGCATCCCAGCCCCCCAAGGAGAACTGGGGCCCCCAGCTGGCTGGTGCTAGCCTTCCTACAGGCTCCGGAGAAAGACAGCACACAGGGCCACCCGCGGTGGGACAACTCACCATCTAACATCTGCCCCCTCCTCCTGCGTGTTTTCTGCCATCACCTGCCAGGTACCAGATTCTCTGTCCCAAAGCCTGGGCCCTTGGGTGTCACACCCCGTGCCCTATGCTTTGGTCCCTACAGCACAACACACTCAGGCCCCAAGCAAGACATCCACCTTCCTGTTTTCCAATCACAGATTAAAACCAGAGGAACCTCAAAGATCATTTGCCCCAACCTTCACATGGGGAAACTGAGTCCCAGAAGGCTGACAACCGTAAGAATTCCTTACATTTATATAATGTTTGGAAATCACACAACGACCCAAGGTCTTCCGCTAATAGCTAAGACTTACGATATCATTCACTAAGTGCCAGGCACTGTTCAACCTACTTTACGATATGAAATCCTCACCTCAGACTTGGGAGGTAAGGCAGTATTATTAGCATCAACCCAAGACACAAGAAATGAAGAGATGGAGCTGCCCGAGTCGCAGAGTCAGCCAGCATGGGGAGGGGGCCGTCTGGATGGGAAGCTGTGCCCACGGCCTGCGACCATCAAGGCCCTGAAGAGCGGAGCCGTGTGCTGACGACAGGGTCGGAAGAGAGCCAGGAGAAGGGGCCATACCAGCCAAACTCACGGGGGGATCCTGGGCCCTGATACAAGTTTCAGTACGCCCACAAAGCAGCCAGCGCCCCGGGCAGGTACAACTGAGCTTGTGGGAACCTCAATTGGTATCAGATAGAGTCATCCGAAGCAGGCGGGGCTTGAGGGAACAGGTTTCCTGGAAAAAGATGGTATCAAAGATGATGTTTTAAAATGGAAGTGATCTGGAAAGGCTGTCGAAAACCCAGCACCGGGAGGGCCTCCGTGTAAACGTTGGCAGCAGGACTTGACTGGGCCCCTGGGGCGGCAGGAAGGGAAGCTCTATGGCCCCAGGACTCTCACGGCCAGCTGGAGAGAGAAGCAGGAGGCACGTCCCTCTGCCCCGGTTAGCTGATGATTAAGCAGAGGCTCAGGAAGTTCAATGTCTTGCCCAAAGTCACACAGGTGGTGAGAAGGCGACTCATAACTTGGACCCAGGCCTTCTGACTCCAAGCCAAGTGCTCTTTGCAATGTACCGAACTTCACATGAAAAAGAACCAGAATGCCACCGTGGCTCACGGTTTCGCAAAGGGTGTATAACTTGCAAAACACACTGAACACACACATTCAGTGTGTGTTCCCGTGTGAGGTCGTGCTCCAGAGCCTCGAAGCGCAGCCCAGACACCTGCGGGCACTGGTGGGCAGGCCCGCTTCTGGGGTGACACGGGCCCGGGTGCAGCTACCAAATCCGTCTCTTACTAGCTTGGCGATCTGGGAGCAGGGGTATAAAACGGAGACAAGAACCCCTACCTCAGGGGCCGCAGTGAGGGGTATGGAGGGAAAAACTGAGGAGCCTACGCATAGGAAATACCATCTCCACACCACCCCGACGGAGCCCCATGTCCCCACCCAAGTCTCACTGCCCAGTGCCCCTCAGACATCCTCTGGCGTCTCTTCCAGGAAGGACCTGGACTCCAGGTGTCCCCACTTCTCTCTTTGAGATTGTTTTCCCCTGGGGAAAACAGATGACTCAAATCATCTCTCTGAGGCGTCCCATGGTGCTGCTCATGGAACTTACTGGAACTAAGCTGCCCCACCCATCCTCCTCACCTTCCTAGATGTGTCCAGACCTTGAAGTCCTCTAGAATTCTAGAGTCTTCTGCACCCCCTAGGGTTTTGAAGCTCATCGCCAACCCGCCCCCAACACACACCCCCCAAGAGCCAGAGCCCCTCCTGAGTGGAGGGGCTCTGCGCCTGGCACCTTGGCAAGGCTCAGAGAAAAGCCATTAAGTTTCATTACATTTTAACATAAACATTTTCATATCTAAATCCCCTCTCGTTTCCATAATTCCACACGGTGCTGTGGTTACTCTCAATCTATATTTGATTTGGGAGATTTTCTACAAAGAGAGGCCGTGATATGGGGTCCTGAGATGATGGAGGACCCCCTGCCCAGGACGGACAGACCATCACCCCCAGGGAGACTGCCCCTCTGCTTCCTGCCTTTGTTTTAGGATTTCTACCCATTCTGGTCTCCTGCCCTCCTAGCCCCTCCTAGAAGCCTTGAGACCCCACCCCCACCCCAGTCTATCAAGCTAATGTGCCCTTGAGGGGAAGTGATGCCTCCACTGTCCCTGCTGAGGGCCATTAACTCCAGAATCAGCTCTGGCCACCACTTAAGTATCTTGCAAATGTGGGCCACCCTTACCTCCAGCTTGGTGGGGACAGAACAGGAAGGGGGGAGGGGTGCCTGAAGCTGAAGCAGCTCTAGCTGTGAATCCCAGCAAGGGTGGTCACTACCTCGAGGCGACTTTGGAAAAGCCACTTTTTCTCTTCTGCCTCAGTTTTCTTACCTGTAAAACAGGGACAGTGGTCATATTCTGTTTTCTAGAGTTATACTAAAGACCTCAGAAAACAGCTGAAAGCCCTGTGTAAAGTTCAGTGTGAAGCTAAAGAATCATCCCTATGTAGTGACCTTTCAAATTCGGCTCCCACGAAGGAGCCATCAGGGCCTCTGGTGACAGGGACCTCACTTCCTTCCAGGGGAAGCCCAAGCTTTCTGCCAGCAGCACTGGCCTTCAGAGATGTCTAGTGAGTCTGTGGCTGGTTGACAAATTACATTAGAAGAAGAAACAGCTTCTCCATGAACTTGGCCACTCCTGTGTTCTTATATTGCCTGTTTTTTTAATGTTTATATTTTGAGAGAAACAGACAGACAGACAGAGACAGAGACAGAGCGGGGGAGGGGCAGAGAGAGAGAGGGAGACACAGAATCTGAAGCAGGCTCCAGGCTCTGAGCTGTCAGCACAGAGCCCAACACGGGGCTCGAACTCAGGCTTGAACTCGGGAAGGGTGAGATCATGACCTGAGCCAAAGTCAGACGCCTAACCAACTGAGCTACCCAGGCGCCCCTATTGCCTGTTCTTATTTTCCTAGTAATGTCCCTTTTGAAAAATGCTCAGCCTGTCCCAGTGAAATAAAGTGGAAGAATGACTTGGCCCTATGGGCAGTGATTGGTGTGGAAAGAAGTTCAGGCTAGCAGGGCCATGCGGCGTGGGGGGAGGGAGTTGAGGACCCCCACCCCCTGCTCCAGAGCCAGAGCCTGCTGAGAGGTTTCACCAGGAAAAGAGCCTGTAAGAGGTACAGCCCCTCACAGGCCTTCCTCAGTCCACGCAGGGGAAGCCCTGGGCTCTGTGGGGCAGGTGAGGGATTCGTCGGGTGCCACCAACATGGGGAGGGAGTGATGGACCCCTGTGAACAGGCAGCAGGGGGCTCAGACGACAGGCTGTTTCTGAGACCTGGGGCAGTGCGTATTTTGGAGTGGGGGAGGGGCAGTCAGGCTGTTTCTAACCCCCCACCCCACCCCCACTTACACCGCAGACCTGGCCTGTGGGGTGGAGGCAGATAAATGGCTTCGCCATGCCCCCAGCCTTCCCCCCTGGCTCCAAACTTCTCATTCATCCCCTCCCTCAGAGAGGGATGGGGGTCAGGTCCCTGCCTGGCAGGATCCCCATCAGAGAAGACAGCCCCTCTCCCCGTAGGAATGTGCGTGAAATCCCAGTAACTCTCTCCAGCTGGGCCTGACCTTGGAGGCGGCTCTGACAAACCCCGTGGCATGGGTGAGCGTCTGGGAAAGTTAGCCTCTTCGGGATCCTTTTTTCTCCTAAGGACAACTCAAGGTGTGAAGAGCTGGTGGGAGGGGCGGGAGGCCCGGTGACACTGGGGAGAACATTCCAGATGGCCGAACATGGTGTGCAAAGTGGAGTGCCGCAGTCTCTCACGCCGCACATGCTCACACGCCGGGAGGCCCTGACCCCTGGAGCCCACATGGCCCTGCACACGTTGGAGTTTGTGGATCACGATCAGGAAAGTACTAGGGAAAGCTGAGGGCAAGGCTGAGAGTCAGGATTAGAGCAGAGGTCCGAGCCCCGCTGCCTGGGATCTGCCCAAGGGGCACGCATGTCCCTGCCCTACTGGAAACCGTGCTTCCTAACACTGAGCAGTAAGTAGGCACAGGCACCGTGCTAAGGGCCTGAATATCCATGACCTCATTTACACCTGACAGCAACCCTGTTATTCCCATTTTACAGACGAAGACACCGAGGCTCAGAAAGTTTCCTTAAATTGCCCAAGATCATACAGCTAAGTGGCCAAGTCAAGACAGCTGGCCTGTTGTCCTCTGCGGATGTACCCAAAAAAGGAGACAGCAGAGGGCATTGAAAAGGCCCCATTCGGGATCTTCAAGGGGGCCGGTCACTGCACTGCCCTAAAGATGGGGATGCCTGGGTTCCTGTCCCATTTCCACCAACTGTGAGCTGTGTGACCCTGAGCATCTACTAAACTTCTCTGAGCCTCCACTTACCCACCTGACAACAGAGACAAAGGGGTAGAGGCATCTCATGAGATAATTTAAGGCGCACGTGTATGGTAAAAGTGATATGACATCGTGGCCTCAGGCGTGACGTGGCCCACGGAGTTTAGGTAAAGACGCCAAGCTTCCAGGGACCAACATCGTCGCTGTTATTCTCAACAGCAACATCACTATCAGCAGCAACATCACCACCATCACTATTTACATTTACTGAACAGTAATAACAAAAATAGTGACCGCAGATTACGTGCCGACTATGTGCCAATCACGGTGCGGAGCACCTTCCATAATCTACTTCTGCTCAAGACAGACGCAACGGAAGTCTGGGGCGAGGGAGACGAGAGGAGGGGTACACAGCCTGGCACCTCCAGTCTCCATCCGGGAGGTCTGAAGAAGGTGGCCGCCTAGGGACCGCCACTGGGGTTTAGAACCTAGCAAATTCCGTGACCAGAGAGAAAAGGCAATTTGCACCGATGCCGATACACCAGGGCAGATAGAGGGCTGAAGCACAACCCAGTCCAAGGCAGAGGCTGCGACCAAGAGCCCACCCCAGGGAAGAGGCAGGCCAGGGGCTCAACCCCAGAGCCAGCCCAAGGCTACCTCATGCTGTGAGCTAGTGAGTGGGTCAGCCCTCCTGGCTTTATAGCCCAAGGGAAGGCCAAGGCAGAGGCCTGGCTGAGTCCCAGGTAGCCACTGGCTGGCTACACCAGTTCCAGGCCTCTGGGTGGTGGGTCCCCCCGCCCCCCTCCCCCGGGGTCAGAGGAAAGTGCCTCCTGCAGGGGCTGAACTGGAGAAGAGAGGGATGTGTCCACTCCTGGGCAAAGAAGAGATTTCTACAATCTCCAAGTGTGACAGTAGAGAGAGCTGGACCACGTTGGAACGCATGATCAGACTATGCGGAGGGGTGTGTGGCCCGGCAAGGAGTTGATACAGGGCCTTGGTGGGCAGGCTGGGAGCTTAGTCTTTTTTTTTTTTTTTTAATGTTTTTTAAAAATTTATTTCTGAGAGAGAAAGAGAGAGAGCGTGAGCAGGGGAGGGTCAGAGAGAGAGGGAGACACAGAATCTGAAGCAGGCTCCAGGCTCTGAGCTGGCAGTCAGCACGGAGCCCGACACGGGGCTTGAACCCACGAACCGTGAGATCATGACCTGAGCTGAAGTCGGATGCTTAACTGACTGAGCCACCCAGGTGCCCCTGGGAGCTTAGTCTTGATGCTAAGGCCTCAGGGCTACAGGGCTACCAGTGCTGGCTCCCTAGCGCAGAGGGCTGTGCCCTTCACCGTCCAGGGCTGCAGCCTCAGTGGTGCCCTGGGCCGCGCGGTCAGAAGCTCCCTCTCACCTGCAGATCAGGACCTGCATTCTCACAGTCTGAGCTTCCGTAGAGCGACAAGGTTAAAACGGATCTTGGGAACCCTGTCTCCGTCTGGCACTTAGCAGTGGGGGGTACCCATGAGACTGCTGGAGGGGCTTCAGACCTTCCCGGGGGAGGAGAGCGGTCCAGAGAGCCCCCGCGCGAGCCCTTGCCACCCGCCTCTGGCCAGCAGGAGGGAGCCACTCCTCACACATGGGCTGAAAAATGGCCAGGCGCGCTCTGGCCCACGGGGCAAGCCCTCGGCGGTGTGATCAGCCCCTCCCCACCCAGCCTGTCCGATCTTGGGGCACGGGGGCCAAATCCAGACAGCCAGTCTCCTTTGAACTCCTGGTCCCCCCAGAAACACCTATTGTGCCTACATCACAGGACGCAAGCAGACCCAGGACAGCTTTGTAAGCCGAAAGGCCAGTGCTGCCCCCAGGGCCTCAGTAAGAGGTGACTATAGGGAAGCCCTGGTCAGTCCAGCTCCTGAGAAAGCAGTGTTTCTGTCCCCAGGCAGGGGTAGCAGGAGAGAAGGTGCTACGTTACTTACGGAAAAAATCTAAACCTCTGAGGGGGGTCTGCCTCCTCCCCTGCCCCAGATTCCTGCCCTGTCCATCTCCCCTTGCATCTCGTTTCCCAGCAGATCCAGTCCCCGGGATCCCCCTCACACGGCCCATGTCTCACACACGTGTCCCTGCACCGCTCCTCATGCTGCCTACAATGCTCTTCTCCTGGTAAACTCCTATTATGCCTTCAAAACCCTGCTCAGAAGGCCCCTCCTGGGTGAAGCCATGAACTCCCAGAGCTAATCACTTCTTCTCTACACCTGTCCTGGCAGCCCCCCAGACTGGAACCTAGGTCTGTGTGTATGTCCTACCCGGGGATGTCACTTGCTCAGAGGGCAGGAAAACCAGGTGTGATGTCACCATGTGACAGGTGAGAACACCCAGGCTTGGACGCGTCACTGGCGTGGCCCTAGATACAGGCAGGAGGCATGTAGGTCCTTGGGGTCTGAGCCTGGGCGGGTGCGGGCGCTGCCTGGAGAGGGCGTCCCGCTCACAGAGAGACCAGGCCCTGCTGACAGGAGTCAACCTTGTCCAATTCCAGCCGCGGTGTTCCTGGCTGTGGGACTCCGGACAAACAACCTGACCTCTCTGAGCTTTCTCAGTAGGGTAAGGCCAACACAGCGAGCCTCAGCCCAGCACCCAGCCCCGCTCACAGGAGATGCTCTCTGGATCCTCTCTCATGCGCGCTGATCCCTCGCTCACCAGGGCCCTGCACTCCAGCCCCGGCCCGGCTGCCTGCAGGTGCCCAGTCCTGCCCGAAAGCCTGTGGGGCTGGGGCCGGGGGAGCAGATTCGTCCCGGTGTAACCAGAGAATGTCTGAGGGCTCAGTGCCAGGGCTCCAGCTGGGGTCCCCACCTCACAGCTGTCAAGGGGAGGCTCAGACACAAAGCAACCCAAGGCGAGGGGGACAGTAGGGCTGTGTCTGGTAAGGGGACGGAGGGAGCCGCTTCCTGCCTTGTGAGGGACCAAGACTACTAAGAAGACCTGCAGCCTCATCAGAGAATGTCACACAGATGCATCTTGGTGCCCACCCTGCCCCTGACTGGCTGGGTGACCTTGAGCAAA